AGTCTGACATTAAAGTAGATCTCAGTACAACAGGGAAAAAAAGTATTAGTATTCACTGCATGTATGTGTGGCAAATGTGTGCTATTTTTAAATAGGGATGCTGTGAAAGTGTGGAATTGGGGACAAGACAGCCTTGCACCGGGCCGTGACACAGACTTATGTTAAACCTAATTAGATCATGATAATAGCTTTAGGGCCCCAGTGATCAATGCTAGAGGTCTGTGGAGATGAACTTTCCTTAAGTTTCATGCCACACGCTGCTTGTACTCATTTTCATACACACACACACACACACACACACACACAAACCAGAGTGGTTTGCAGACAGTGTTATATGAAAGCATTATTTTAAATCTGCACATCATCTGTCTGTGTCAACGGTTAGCCATTCTCGTGTTAGTGCTGAATGAGTGTGCTTAGATCGATAATGTGGTCAGCGTTGGACTAATTCAAATTTGAAGTAGCGTGCATCGGCGCTAGATTCCCCGCCAATGTGATGGATATGATTAGGAATTCGTTAATATTGGAAACTTAAAACGCCTGTCTGTCAACACCTTAGTCCACCAAGCCTCTCCCATAATGCAATGCACCCACGGTGTCTCCTCACCGCATTTTCTGAGATGCTTTCTGTCAACAACCTGATGGTAGAGGCTAGTTTACCGCTCGCAGACTCCTCAGATCACTCTCGCCGAAGACAAAGAGGATTCCTTATGCTTCCATTACTATCTAATGTAATTTATGTAATGTAATAATTTCAACACGTCTGCTGACATGTAAGCTAGCTAGCTTGTGATTAGTCTTGATACCGGATGCTTTGGGAATCCCTGCACGTATCAGTTGTGGATGCACGAGTTGTTAACTCTGGAAGCGTCCTCCTTCTGCTGACGTCTTTGTATCCCAGGAGCACTTACAGGAAGCAAAAAGGGTCAAAATACAGATGCTAACTGAACAACCTACAGTAGATGAAATTTGATTGTATGATGTTTAACTAAATCTCCTTTGGAACCAACCATCTTGGGTTTTTACGAAAACTCAACCGACCATGAAATATTCAGAAAAAAACTCTTTCATCAAGGAGAGTGGTGTTCGTGTTAAATTAAGAAAATAATATTCACGTGACAATTATGTTATAGTTACGTTATGACTCATTCATCTTCACCCTAACTTCACTTGTGTTTGTTGAGTGGTCACATTCCTATTTGAAATAAACAAAGATATTTTGCTATACCTAAATTACGTTTTTTTCTTTGGTGAATTGTCTGTTTTACATCATTAACCACATGTTTGATTTGATTATGTTAAAATTGTGAGTGATACGAAAGATATTGGTCGTAATTTAAAGTATAGGAACAAACAACATGTATGGTGATATGCATTAGAGGACTTGCTGACTTTAGTGTGACACGGTTGTACATGATTATTGCGTGTGTGTGTGTGTGTGTGTGTGTGTGTGTGTGTGTGTGTGTGTGTGTGTGTGTGTGTGTGTGTGTGTGTGTGTGTGTGTGTGTGTGTGTGAGAATGCAGTATTTGTATGTAGAGTATTGGTCAGGCCTCATAAACCTAAAACATAAAGGATTTCATAAACACTGCTATTTGCCAGAGGTCAATTTGATTCATAGTCTATTAGTGCTGGGTCAGTTTGTCTTTTCAGCGGCAGTACCCGGCCCATTCCAGTTTGACATGCTGCCTATTCACTGCCAAGCACTGACATTACAAGCAGTATTCAAAAAAAGGTCCACAGTTGATTGAATTCCATTGATACAATGTTGAACATTTGGAAATAATACAGTTTCATTTTCATTATATGCCTTAGTTGCTGTCAGGGAGGAACTCATTCTATTGGAAGATGAAAACAGATCGAAACATTTCCTAAATGCCCAATCTCAACCAGATGTATCCATAAAACACACTGTCTAGACAAAAGTGTAATGAATGACATAATGATCCCCTGAAACCTTCGAACAAATAAAGGTTTAACATCATTTAAGATACAATCTCCCTGAGAGAAGAAGGCATCCGTCTGCTCGGTGTTGAATGGCCGAGTGTTAAGCTTTCCATGGCGACATCTATCTCTCGCCACCACCTTGAGGGCATCTCTTAAGCAGAAGAATTTAGCCATTATGTGGCATTAACCTCATTAGAAAACACTCTTTAGCTGTTCCAAGATAAAATTGATTTACAGCTGCCATTTCCACCACAGCTCTCGATCAATGGTTAAACTATCCCTTTTATGGCCCTGCACACACTCTCTGCTCTTTTCTCCAGTTTTCTTTAACTGCCCTTTAATTTCATTGCAACCCTCCACTCTTGTGCCAGGTATGTAGTCACAGAGTGGAAGCGAGATTTCCCCGATGTATCCATGGTCATATAGGGGACTTGACTACATTTTTTTTAGAGTGGAGAAACACGACTGGATCTATGGCAGATTCCTTGAACCAATTAGGCACCATGTTGCTGTCTTGGTCTTTTTTATCGATGTGGGAGTCTCGTCATAGTCAGCTACATTTGCTTGGGTGGTCTTAATTGAGGTTTTATCTTAACATAATGTTGTAGTGTTTTTCTTTCCACTCTTATCAAGGTTGTTGTAGTTATTCACAATTTAGGAATGTGATTAGCCTACGCAGCTGCAGATGTATGAACATTTAAAAAGTATATATTTGAGAAGTTAGGGTTAGGTTAGGGTTATTATGGCCTGGATTGTGTAAGTATATGGGGGTTAGGTGTCAACTGTGATTTATCATGGAAAAGCCTACCAGCACCTGTTAAACATAGACCCCTAAAATAATATTAACCCTAACCCTGGAATAAACAATCATGTATGTTGCATTCATTTACAATGACAGTAGGTTATAATCTCTTAAAACTGAAAATGGGAATTTAGCAGCTAACAGAGTCAAATCCACCATCAAATTGGCCTGATTGAGGTTATATTTTAACAAAAAAAATGTAATTGAGGAGTTAGGCTTTTATGGCCCTGATCTTGTAAGTATATGGTGGTTAAATTGGTGTCAACAGGGATTTTCTTTATAGGAAAGCATACACATAAACTCGGACAGGTAGTTATATGTCTTTGAACGTGGCCTACCAGTGAGATTAGAACCCTAAACACAAACACTATCCCTAACCCTAGGAGATAGTATGTTGTTCGAGTTTGCAATAGAAGGAGGTTATGGTATCATAAAAGAGAACATGGGAGTTAAGCGACTAACATAGAGAACAAAACACAGTCCATGCCTAGGAATGATTTGAGATGCAACTGAAAGCACTTTCAGTTAAGATTATAAATAAGTATAAAAGTGTGGCTAATGAAGTTTTTTTGTTTTATTTTGAAGATTCACGAAGCAAAGTTTTGCAGATGCCCGTTTCTCTATTACCACATGAAGCTGATGGGTAAAGCTGTGTAAAGCTAAGCCAAGCAGAAAATTCACAATCTATGTGGGCGTGGCCAAATGTCAGTATATGCCCGCCCACCTCTGACAGCTCAGGTTTATGTGGACGTTTAAGCAAAACACTCAACGCTGTATTTCTTTGACAAATCAATACGACCACCATTTCAGCTCTCCTTCCTTGCCTCCCTGCCTCCTTCTCGCGCTCGCTCCTTTCTCATCTCCCTCTGTCTGGGAGAATTGATCCGCATGGATGGAATGATATCAAGCGACGGATAGAGTGATACGCCCCGCTCCCCTCCATCCTGCCCTCCTTTCACCGCATTTTTGACACATAAATAAAATATGTGGCCTTTTTTGTTTCAATTCGCCACGGCGTTAGTTCTGAGGAGGGAATATGGTGCGCGGGCTCACATGGAGCTGTTGGTAGACAAGAGGAGCTGAGAGTCGGCTGGTTGCCATCACTCACTGTTCACAGGCGCCCTACAAAATCCCCTGAACTTTCCGACACATGCATTTGTTAGAGTGACACAGTCAGATTCTAAAGAATGGCATTAGAAAATAATGTGAGCGCTAAATTATTCAGGCTTTTTTTTTTTGGCTTCACTTTACAACCCCACACAGCCTTGCACACACACGAACACACAGACTATATATAAAAATATATTTATCCTCCCGCTCATGTCAGAGTTATAGCAAATCCATTTAGTGTCAGCGTCCACATTTGGCAAAGGAAACGATGAGAGAAGGTGCTGGGAGGGGAACTCTGAGATGCCAAAGCAGCACTGCAGTCAATCCTAACTTTAATATAAACTGAAATGAATCACGACCCCGGCTATCAGGCGCTGCTATTAACAGACCGATGCTACATGTTCATCCACACCTTGGCTAGATATTCCTGACATGACAGCAAAGGCATTTCCACAGCAGGACAAGAAATAGACACTGGGTGAACTAACCTCGCGTCCTCAGGGCACGTCAGGGTTTCCACTCCGGGACAAAGGCTTTAACTTCTCCTCCGAATCCCTCAACAGTATACATAAATATTATCTAAGCCTTTCTCACTATATAGCTTCTGGTCTGGACACTGAAGACAAAAAAAAACTAGGGAGAACCAGCTTGGATTTAAAGACAGACGCAGTAACACCACTACAACGGATACTTAATTGGATTAAATAGGAATTATCTGTTGATATGCAGGTCGTCTTCATCACATATAACAGGTGTCCCATAGTGAAAAAACTGAAACGTTGACATTAATTAAATGTATTATGTCAAAACATGTCACATTACTGCATTAGGCTAGTTGAAAGCAATAATATTAAGTTGAACCTAATACTTAATATTTAAACGTTTATATTATTATATGTCAAGTCGATGTTTCAGTTTTTTCAGTGCAGCCAACAGTATGTGTCATTATCTTCATCATCGTCATCATCACCCACACAGATTGCATCATGGCGTGAAGAACCTGCTGTCACCAAGCTCACTTTTTTTCCACTTAACCTTCACATGCAAGAATACATATAAATACCTGAAAGCATTGTACAATTTTACCCCCTCCCCCCACCTCCTACCCCTATTTCCCTCCTTCCCCAGAAAGCCCTTAGTCACCTCAGACAGTGGGTGTGGTGGGGGGGTTCCTTGGACAGCGTGACAGCCCCGTTGAGCTTCAGCTCCGCTACTGGTCGGCACTCAGGGAGCCCTGGGAGAGAGAGAGAGAGAGAGAGAGAAGGGGGGGGGGGGGGTAGAGAGGGAGAAGATAAGAAAAGTGCTGAGTTCACCGCCACCACAGCTCCCCCTCCCTCCCCCTTCTCTCTATGCTTGGAGCATCCCCTCCTCGGGAAAGGGGTTTCCCCCTTTGGAAAGAGGAGGGGGAGGTGCTGCATGCTGACTCGCTGCTATAACCTCCAGCTCCTTCTACACCTGCTCCACCAGCCTGTACACCTTCCATTACAGTCTCTGTGTTCAGGCCCCATGTCCCCCTGTTTGTCTGTCTGTTCGTCCGTCAGCAGAATAATGGACACATTAATGAGATGATTCTAATGTAACTTAGAGGAAGTGTATAGCAGAGGTCGAGGAAGAAATAAAACAATTGCAGGTCAGAATCATAGGGCCTTTTTTCTGCATTTATAAAGCGTCAGAATATAGCAATATGTGTTTCTGACTAGGAAAATGCCCCCTCAAGATTGAACAACAGCTAGCCATTCTAGTTTTTAATTACACATACTCCAAAAATAATAAGCTATTTCCTTATTCCATGTTTGAACCAAACCTCATAATTATGAAATTATTATTAATATTTACAAGAAAAGGGAAACGTCTGCAGACATTCCTTCATTTGCTGTTGGTCAATATATCCTTAGTTAATCACATGTTGTCTTAATCTCCTCCAATACCTAGCTCTAAACTAATGTTTTAAATCAGGGAGCAATGATTTATTTATGTTTAATCATTTTATTGTTTTATGTAGTTATTTCCCTTAAAAACACTTTTAAGACAGGCCTAATAAAATAACAAAAGTTAAAAAGCAGAGTACGTCAGGAAAAGAATCTCCAGTGACTGCTAATCGTATAATTTCTCTTTAAATACATAATATTCATCACTGTATTGTAACAAAGTGTTACCCAATTCCAAGTCTTCCGTCAGCAAAGCCTGTGAAACTAACTTGCTCTCCACTCATTTGTTTTAAACCTCTAAACTCCCCTTGAACACTAAAAAGGAAAAGATAAAAAAATGTACACTCACATATTCCATGCAATGAATATCCCGGTCATTAAGCAACATTTTGACACCTCCGTTATTTACTACCCGGACCGTTTTCCCACCTCGTTTAATCAGACTTTACTGAAAAACCCGCTGACTCAGAGAGAACCCTTCTTTCTTTCTCTCTGCTTTGTTTATGTGTATCTCCTTCAGCTCCATTCTCTTTGCTTACTTACTCATATTTTCCAAAATGTCTCTTTCACATGTGTGTGTGTGTTTTTTTTCGGTGGGGCCTCGCCACAGAAACATCAGAAAAGAACAAATAAGTAAAGCAGAGTGTTTACCTCCGACATGAAAGCCTGCAGCTTTCAAAGGCAGAGAAGGTCTCGGCTATGTGTTGTAACCACCAGATGCTGAGCAGAGCATTATCGCAGGTGATAAAATGTGGAACTTTGTGATTTTTGTACGTGTTCTACCAAAGCAGCTATCGCAACCCCGCTCCCCGTCATGCGTCGGAGGATGATATTTAAAGTGGAGCACACCGTTTTTGCCTTAGAAGTGGTTTACCTTCGATTTTCTCTTCTGGGAAGAGATCACTTGAGACAGGAGGGGGAGGCGGATTGAAGGGAATTAGATGTGGCTCAATACAAGTTATCTTTAATGGAGGGATCCTGGGTGGAGGGATTCCAGAGAAAAAAAGAAATGAAGGAGGAAAAAAGCAAGTGAAGGGCGGGAGAAATAACTAGATGTAAAGTGTTGACAGCTGTGTTTGGAAAGGTCCGACTCTGGGGTCAGGTGTCAATGAACACAAACAAATGTTCACACGGAACACAGATATTAGCGTCCCTCGCTAACTAGCTCCTGAGCTCTTTCTATCACACTCATTTATCTACCAATAAGCAGTATTTTATTTCCCCGTACAACCGTTCATTTGACATTCTATTTTTACTTGCATATAGTTAACACAGCAGAAGGAGCCTTTTTCATTGCATGTCTACACTGTAGCTGTGCATATGACAGTAAAGCCCTTTGAACTGGAAGCTGGATGTAATGTTCTTCTTGTCACTGCGGCCTTCTGATTCTCTCCGTTTGAAAAGCTGCTCCCTACACCAAATAAAACATACAAAGGGTGTATTAAAGCTACACCCTGATGTGTACTCTCTCTATTCCTGTAGAACCCTTCCTCCTCACAAACACAGGGTCAAATCATTACACTGCACCCTCACCCGCACTAGTTTACCTCAGTGCAGCTACAGTAAACCACACCAACATTTAACACCTCGCATTTGATTTAAAGGGTAAACCTTTTATTTGCTTGTAACCTGACGTTATTTAGTTAATTGTCCCACATTTTAGCACAGCCAACACAAGTATTCGTTTGTATTGTTGAGTTACATTGGTCATTGGGGAAAGTTACTTCCTGGTTCAGCAAAAGGAGTGGTTGAGGACTGATACATACTGCAAACAGCCAATTGGGACAAATTGGGACAAACCACATGCTTCATTTTCAAAGGGGGGGATTTGGGTTTTGTCAGTATCTGTTCATTTGAATTACCCCTTTCTTGCTATTTGTTTTTTCCAAGCCACTATATATATGTTCCTTGTGTTGTCATTGTGGCAGATTGGTTTGTTCAGTTAACACCTGGTTAGCTGCTGTTATATTTATCACACTGAAACATTGACTTTAATTAAATGTATTTTCAACAGTTTAAATAAAACTATTTGGTTCGACTTAATGTTATGCATAATACATTTAATTAAAGTCAACGTTTCAGTTTTTTCAGTGTAAAGTTATTTTATGTGGATGTCTTCGATAGAGCTAGTTAATGAAAGATTTGTGAAAAAACTGTTTCTTTAAACAACTCCTGTGTCCTGTTGCCTTACTGCTTGTTCCCTAACACACACACACTCACACACATTGGGAGAAGTCATGAGGAAATGGATGCCCATGTTTTGTGGGACCACCTGTTCATGCTGGATACAAGTCTAAGAACCCAGTAAGGGTTAACCCTCATTGTGAGAGGGAGCCAGAATGGTGTGTGTGTGTGTGTGTGTGTGTGTGTGTGTGTGTGTGTGTGTGTGTGTGTGTGTACAACTTCATACATGAATGTGTGTGTGTGTGTGTGTGTGTGTGTGTGGGTGTGTGTGTGTGTGTGTGTGTGTGTGTGTGTGTGTGTGTGTGTGTGTGTGTGTGTGTGTGTGTGTGTGTGTGGTGTGTGTGTGTGTGTGTGTGAGTGGCAGACTGGCTCATGTTGTCCGGCTGTGAGGGAACAGACAGACACACGCACACACACACGTACACACACACGCGCGCACACGCACACACGCACACACACACACACACACACAAAATCACACTCACACTCACACTTAATCCTATGCACATTCCATTGGGAGCATCTTTCCTCTACATCAGCCATTCCAAACTAGTGTACCTGATCTAAAAGAATAAGAAAGATTAAATAAATAAATGATTTTTCACTTTCACTTCAAGGCTTAATTAATTTAGAATATTGATCAAAAGCAAATTAATTGTATGCAAAAATGTACTGAAGATTATTCAAATGTAATACATATAGACTTTGTAAACTACATAATTGTTTTCCAACTCTTTCTAGAACAAACTAATATTCTGCTAACTGTTTCAACACATGCCAGTCAACAGGACCACACACACAAACACACCACCTTGAATCATGGCACCTCTCATCATTCTCATAAGTGTCTGAAAATAGGGGGACGTGCCATCCCTTAACTCCCCCCCGCCCACCCCAACAAATAATCACCTCCTGGGAGGCAACGAGACGGAGAAAAAAAAATAGCAATCTCGTCTTTCAAGCGAAAGGGGAAAAATATTTTAAGGGGCAATGAATTTCGTGCAGCTGAATAGGATGTTGGTACATGTTTTACTAAAGGAAATATAATGGCAGACTATTATTAGATCACATTAATCATGAGTGTGCCAAAGGCAGTGACAGCCGCGCTGAAAAGGATTGAAAACGCTGGTAATGGATATAAATTACCCATTGTGTGATAAAAGGATTTTTTCTTCACTAAGAAGGTAAAAAGGAATAAAAACACTGAAAGAGCCACTAAACGCTGTGTGTTCATATTTGCATGTGTATATGTGTACGTGTGTGTGAGTGTCCTGTGAGTGTGTAATATGTAATAATACGGGGTTATCAGTGCAGGATTAACATTTTAAGGGAATCAGATAGTGACAGTGAGGCCTTGCATTAAAAGGCGCCGGCGACAGAAAAGAGGGAAGGATTAAAAACAGATTAAATTGGTTTGTAGTGATGGAGATGAAAGGAAGGAGGAAGGGGTGGGGGGGAAGGAGAGTGTGTTTTGACAGAGGTCTGTCTGGCTTTTGGCACGGTGATAATGAGTCACATCTCCCATGCACTGTTATTTATCACCGACTTGGCTCACAAACAAAAGATCAATAATTTTGAGCAAATCTAATGTTGTCGTCGCCGCTAATGCGGTCGTCCATCACATCTGCCATCTCCACCAAGGAGATGGACTGATTCCCTGTTTATTTGGAGATCAAATGCAATTATATCACATGGTTCTAATAACAGAGGAAACCCCCCCTCCCTACGTAAATATGTGTGGCGCCTTGGATCATGCCCATGCATATGTATATATAGATATACAGACATGCACAAAGGTGTCACGTATGTGTAAATGATAATATATGTATCGAATGGGCGATGAGTTGCTGTGCCGTTTTTCCGCATCAATCTTCATTTCTTCCTCAGACCTTGCCTTTGAAATATGAAGTGTGTCAACGGCCCGTCCCCCCGCAACACAGGAGGCACGCAAACATCCGTCAAAGCAACACACCCGATGTTCACCAGTTAGCCCCGCAGCACAAAGAGATGAGAAGACAGCAGATCCTTCAATGACAACTAGCCCTGGGTGAGACACTTTCCAGCCACCTGAACTCAATCAGGCCCCGGTGGAGGCAGCATTTGGGTATATCATTTCATCTCC